TATATAAAACTAAAAGTAAATAGTTCTGTCAATAGAGAGGTTAAGCATTTTACTGTGTATGTCTTCCTCTACATGTAAACCTAGCAGTGATTTCACATCGATTCGTGTTCAGTTTAACAATCTGCACTTGTACTGGTATGTGTAAAACATCATTTCAGCACGACACTTTTCTATCCATTTGTATCAAATAGATCTATAGCTTGAAATGAAAAAAGATACATTGGATGTACGTAATAAATACCGGTACTAAAATTCATACCGAACACCAGCTGAAAAATAAATATTCTGTAGTTTGAGTTAAAGAAGCTACAAGTTCTCACCTACGCGTACTTGCGAATCTAAACATTGTGTACAACTTGTAGAATTACATGTATGCGGTATGCGAAACTGATGACATAAATCGCATAAAAATATGGGATTTCTCTAGGGACACGTACACGTAGATGTACACGGTCATCTGCTTAACCTCTCTTTTATATAGTGCTTGACCTGTACATATTTTTGTAAGGGTAATATGACTTTCCTTTTGATCATGTTGACAGAAAAATAATTAATATATAGATTGATTTTTATTTAAAAAAATTAATTAATTTTTATCTTGAATTTAGTGATTTTTAACAAAAATTAAATAATATTCATTTTTTGTTTTCAAAGGATTTACCAAAGAGGATGAAAAGGAAAAGGAACAAGAACATATACACATGTAATCATGGCTATAACAGAATTCGAATGAAATCTTGAACTTAATTTTGGAAAAGACAATTTCAGGAATTGGGACCCGGACAGCTTATAGATGCATTTCTCTTCAAGGTAACCAGTTTCAAAAATCAAATCAAAATTGTTAAAAAAAACACAGTACTATTCATGTACTATATTTTCTGCACATTTCTCTTTTATTGATCAAAATGATTTTTAGAATCATAATAATATATGCATGTATCAAAGAAAACATGTTTAACTTGAACAACTGTCATAATGATCATTAGAAAAACACCTCTTGATTTAGGGTTTGCTTTTACATTTTAATATGTATTTAATTTAATTATGTATTTAATTCAGTTTGATATTTGTCTTCATTTGAAGATATTGAAAATTGTATTTACTTCTGCAGGTAGAAAAAAGTGGAGATGCAACATCATGAAGTTCAAAGTAAAGTGCAAAGCTGAATATCATAAAATCTCCTAACAACGGTGAAGCCTTGAAAGTTGGAGATATGGCATTGAATTTATTCCTTAGAAAGTACTATGATGTCTGTTACTAATAATTTAGTTTCCCAAATGAAGAGCAATGTAGCAGGCTTGACAGAGTGATTTTCCTGAAGATGAAATTGGAAATGAGAATATTCATGTGTGTCTCCATACTGGAAATTCTCAAGATTCAACCATATTTCTAAGTGATTCAGTGAGGTCATTATTTAAGGAAGCTCTTAACAGCACAATAATGAGCTCCTTGAAGGAGTAGTTTAATACAGTAAAAGTGATCTGCTCTTAGAAGTCAGATAGAAAAAATGGTTGCTTACCATTTATTTCACAATTTGTAATAGATTATTTATCATTAAAATATTTTTACTAGCATTATCTTAGACAAAGAATATATAAGTAATTGTTTAATATTCACATTAATTTTCCCAATGGTCAACAACAGGGTTTTCTGTTCATGAATAATTCATAACATTTTTCTTGTAGAAATAATGCAGGTACATGTACCTCTTGAAAATGAACTAATAGTCTCAATGTGCATACCTTTATATGATTTTTTTTTCCTTAATTGAAAGTCTGCAGATCACTTCTTGATGCCCATGTTTAGAGCTTCTTTAAATTTCATATATGGTTTGCTAATTAAGATACATTGTAGTTGATAATTTTGATAAAGGTTGAAAAAAAAATTCACAAGCTAACAGTACTTGTCTTAATTGTAATATTTTGAAGCCTTTTGTTCTATCATATGTAGCTAACTATGTAATTTTTATTGTGTTTTGGATTTTGTTTTATGTTCATGTATTATAAAGCATATAATTTAGAAATTATAAATGCAGCCTTATTACCTGCAGTAATCAGTAATAGAGGACTATTATTTTTGTATTGTGCTATAAATTGGGGGCGGGGTATATTTATGATCATATTCTTGCCTATAGATATGAATAAATATTTTTTTTATGGTTCAGCTGACAATATCTCATTGATTTTACAAATTTTAAGCTTAAATTCCTTGAATTTTTATTTTAAAAAGAAAAAATATATATCTTGTTATATGAAATGTTCATCAAAGCTGCTTTTTGGCGAAATGCCAATTTTATGATTTTTCATTTTGTTTTAGTCAATATTTATTGTTATTTGCCCATGAATGTTTTTGAATATTTTCATTATTTGTGACAAGTACCTTCAGATGAAATAGGTGATGCATTGTGAAAGTTCTGCTAATATTTTATTTTTCTTCCCAAAATGTTGTAATTTTTCAGTTTTGACCAAATTTCGAAAAGTTGATATTTTGCCATTGTTTGACAAAGTATTACAAAATTTTCAAATAATTATTAAACATATTAAAGATATCCATTGAAAGTGTTGATGTTGTAGTTTTATAAGAAATTAGCAACAGAGTTCTAATCTTAAATATGGGTTCAGCACTGATGGTGTAAAAAGTGTGATTTTAGCAAAATTGCCATACACAAATTAGCCCTATATGTCAGAAATTTTGTATCCTGGTTACCATGGTAACGGAGGATGTCCAGAAAAAAATTATGCCATACATATAAGTTTTACCCTAGGAAGATACTATATGCCAAGTTTGAAGAAAATCGGAGACTATGTGTGCCAGACCCTTTCAGAATTACTTTGGTGATTACAGAGAATTGCTCTTAAACGGTAGATACTAGTACTCTCATACTTCAAATTTGTAGTTTTTTGGCATTACCTTTAATTTGATACTAAAAACTTTGACCTTTTGACCTTGACCTTGGAGATTTCCGTACTTATGATTTTTTTTTTACCTTGGCCATAACTTTTGAACGGTAAGGGCTAGGGAATTCATACTTCACATAATTATGTAATCCTTGTTACATTAAACATTTTCTTAAGAAATCATCAACCTTGACCTTTGAGTTTGACCTACATTTCAATAACTTATCCTGAGCCATTACTTTTGAACAAGTGGTGCTAGGGCTTTCCTATTTTGCAGTTATATTTCTTGTGAGAAGACCCTACTTTGGGTAACAATATATTCAAATTGCATTTAAGAAAAGTTTAATCTTCGCTATGTTGCCATACACGGGCATAGCTGTTTCACAAACACATCTTTTCATATATGAGGATTTGCGGATAAGAGATGGATACCTCAAAGCGTAACAGACGGACGGACATCCCGATCACTATATACCCTCCCGCTTTTCAAGCGGAGGATATAATAATATATAATACTGCTGATTTTTTCTGTCTGTTCGATGATTTCCACCATCAAAAAACAATGTTTACCTAACCCTTAAGGCTTGATAAATCTTTTACTCCTTTAGATTCTGAATCATTGTATTGACCTTAAAATATAGCTTTAATTGTATCATGTTATGAGATCAACATATCATCAGTTTATTCCCAATAAGCTCAGGTGAGCATTTTGGCCAATATGCATCTTTATCTAATTTTTTTTGCCCCCTAAAAATTTTAGCTTTAATCTACAGGGGGTCATTTTTCTTCACGTGGGTTCTGCAAATTTTTTAGTGTGGTGACACTTTTTCTACGGGCAAAAGGGTAATTTTTCTACGTCGAATAATGACTGGGGGTCATTTTTCGCTGTCGAAAAATGACCCCCGGTCATTATTCGATTGGGATCATTATTTGTCTTTACACCGGTCATTCGTATCTTAAGATTTATCGGTGAATGCATGGTGAAGCCTTTCTGTAATGCATCAAAATCATAAGTTAAAAAAAATTAAAGAATAATCAGTAATTCTGTATTAAATATTTTTGTTGTTGTTTGTGCTATATTTTAAATAGATATCAAGTAGTTAATGTTTAAAATACGGTTTTAACTTTATTTTGCTGTAAACATTTAATATCATTAAAACGTTTGAAACTGGCTTAAATATAAGTTAAGTATATGATTGTGATAAATCGGGAAAGTATATGGAATGAAATTTTATTATTCTGCAAATATGGCGTCATTATATGTAATGAAGGTTTATCAATCTGCAAATATGACACGTTTAATGTTATGCCTTTCTCTAATGTTAATAGAAAAAAAATATCAAAATGTTCCATTTCAAGGGCAATTTCATTTTAAAAATAGCGTCAACAGCCGTCTCCCACATTAATTTTTCTGATATGGTGTGCAACTGTTATAAAAAATCACAAATCTCAAAATCTTTGTTGGTGAGGTCTGTGGACAATATTATCTGAACGAAAAATTCATTGGACATTACATTGCTGTCTTATGAAACTTTTGAAAGAAAATACTTAAAAATGCACATGTCTATGACGTCAAATTAGCAGTAAAACACATTTGAGAAAATTAATTTGTATGATTTTTATGCCATGAATGTCAATGATTCAAAAATGAAGAGTTTTTATCTTTTACACCACTTTTATTTTTTTTTTTTTTTAGAAAATTACAGGGCAAGATTTGTATGAAATCCATATCTTCTTCTTTGTATCAACTTGAGATATATTTTTTAAAAAAAATTAAATGTAAAAAAAAATCTGCTTTATTCATGCATTAAAAATGCATCCCGAATTTCTCAAGAATTTTGTTTCATGATCTATTCTTCTTTATTTGTTCCTGTCATTTTAAGACCTAAAGCAGTTTACCAATATTTATGACACTAACTGCGCTACATAATTACAGGTGAGTAACCTTGATATTTAAAATCGTGTAAATATGGGGGTATGGAGACTAGATGAAGGAGACAGGAAAAATACACCTTTCTTTAATTTTGATTTAATTTTAAACATAAATCAAAGTTGTAAGCTAATACGATTCTCTTTATCTTAAAAAAAAAAGATCCTGCTTGTCTGAACATCAACACGCAACACAGATGTTATGTTGTTAAGTCCACGTGTCCAAATGTGTAAGTAAATGATTATGCCGGACGGCGAATATGCAGAAAGTTTGATTTTACTTGGAAATTGAACAGTATCAATGTCATGGATCTTCTGATATTTCATGAATAAATTGATTCACAACAGGGTCGACCGCTTACTGTGATTTTGTCAAAATTCAAATTCGCTAACGAAGGTCTGTATCATGGGAGATATAGAGATGACGGATTTATAGCCTTTAACGACACAAAAGAGGAAATTCTAGAATTCTTCGATATCGGCAATACCTGTCACGATCACATAAATTCACCTTTGAAATCTCAGATGAAAGTGTTTTCTTTCTTGACATCACAGTATATTCAAAGACACACTTAATCAAGAGAGGTGACTCTGATAATGAAATCGACCCCATTATCACTTATAAAGCAGCTAGTCAGAATAGACTGACTTATTTGCACATAATTTTATTTTCATAGTACACTTTCATTAACGATCACCGGGAAATTTAGAAATCAAATCAACAACATGTATTTTTATGTTTTTTTGTGCTAATATTGCACAATAAAATAACCTAATATTGGCCTAATGTCAAGAAATGTTATGCAACATATAAAGTATAAAAAAATAACCGACATTCAAATTTAACGATCTCAAACCTCTTGCTTAAATTGCCAAAAATTGTTTTTTCCGCTCCTACAGTATTATGCCTTGGTAGAAAGAGGAAGTTTGATTTCGGTATTCCGACTTCTTTGATTTTAATCATTCTTTCTTTGTTTGTATAGCACATAAAAAGATGTTACTACCAGAGACACTTCAGAAACATCAAGACTGGACTTATCAACGATCCATATCCTTCACAGCATTCTCTCGCATGTGGACCACGACTCGACGGGGATTATTGTTGGAAGCCTGGTTGCTGTTGTGTTTATAATTATGTTGGTACTGGGTGGCGTTGTTTGGAAATGGAAAAGTAAACAGAAAGATAAAACACAAATACGTACATCAGGTATCTTTTACTTTTCTACGGTAATCTCATAGTACCTACGACAGTTTTTTTTAATACTTCTTAAGCTTTTTTATGATGCACTTATAATAGTTTTGAAAGAAGAGGGGTTATATTGGAAACAAAATGATAATATGTCTACAAAATGATAAACACAGCACCCCCAACAATCCTATCCCTCCTTAAAATTCAATAACAGAGAAATGTTCATTTAAAGTAAAATTTCTCGTTCAGATAAGAGGTAGGGGAGGAAAAAAAGTTGGAACGGATGCATGATCAGAATGTACTGATCCCTGCTGATAAAGCAGGTAACATCATTGTCTTTTTTTGTAAAGCTCAATATTCAAAATGTTTTTAAGAAAATGTGGGGTATGTTAAGGGTACATTCAAATTATTTCTCAAGAAATTTAGACATTTAAAGAAAGTTATGTTTTATAATTTACCAAAGCCACTGATAAAATGGATCCGAACAATTATTAACCTTTAAAGATAAAAGACGTGCACCATCACCACGTCATTACATGATTTCTATTTATGTCGAAATGTCCCTTAATAAAAAGTTATTAGAAAAACGGGCACCCGGAGTTTAATAACTTCTTTTAGTAGATAATATCGTTAAAAACGTATCATGCCTAATGATGTCTAGTGCTGCTAGAAATCCACTGTCTTATAAGTGAAATAATAATTACAAACATGCACACGTAGATTTGATTTCATACATTTCAACCAAGATTTTTCGGGAAGACATGCTTACCTCGGGATTCTAGAAGCACTTTTCAAGTATTTAAGAATCCACGCATTTGCTGACCACATTATATAAATGTATTTTTTTTTAAATATATGGCCTACTCTTGTTCTCTTGCATTATTGTTGTCATGAATGACAGAGGAAAGGACGACCGGTTTACGTAAATAGGTGTCTGTCTTCGAAAGAGATATAACCGATGAAAAATTAGCAAACTTGTTTTACTAACTTGTGTTCTTAAATTGACGTCATATTGTCTACTATGACGTCTGAATGTATCACTGATTTAGTCCAGCTAGAATATTCTGAATGCTTCCTTATAACCCCTTTGATTTAAATACTATTTTATACTAGTTTATACTTGGTTTTAATTTTACAAGTGGCAATCTTACTTACATGTATACCGATAGCTCTCTTTCTAAAAGAGAAATTCTTCAAAGTCATTGCCATTTTTAGATGTTTTTAGTATTCCAAGCAACCAAAATGAGTTTGAATTATCATAACTATATAGAAATCTGAAACTTCGAAAAAATCCTTACCAACAAAGATACAAAGAGGGTTCAAGTAAATGTTCTATTAGGCATCTTTTTTTACTCCTCACTAAAATATAACGTAGTGAACTAGAAACATTTGCACACTGCAAACATGCATTCATGAAGTGGTGTTAATCAGATACTTCGATATTCCTAGGAAATTTGGAAAAGATTCAGAACCACTTTGGGCATTATTTGGCCCTGAGAATTTCTGTAAAATCAAAACCGCTCAGTTTAGGCTGCTTATGCACTATTAATCACTTAAAGTGTTGGTGACCATGTATCTATTAATAGTGACGTAATTTCCAAGTCCATGTCAATGCATTTTGACGTCATAAAATGCGTCATTTTCCTCATATCTTTTAAAAATCACCTAATATTGAAGCGTTTTTCCAATATTTCAAATACTCGTAGAGCACAAACTTTCATCAAAAATATTTAAATACATAATGAAAGCCTTGTTTCTGAAGATCATAAAACATGTTTTATTTTTTGGATCGTGGGCTGTGCTCACATTTTAATTCTTTGCTGAAAGTAGTCAAATACACTTGTGTTTTCTGCAAATTTCAAGATCATTGCAATTTTTCAAACCTGTTTTCCAATATGTGGATTCACAAAAACAAAATTTCATTACAGAAAATGAAAATATCAAGTATCCCCTTAATTTTGATGTATGAAAAGGGAAAGAGGGTGATGGTTTATTAATTGATATAAGTACAGGGCCATTTTATGTATAAGATGGCTCTTGCTCTTTGAATTCATTTTTATAGCCATAATCAGTAGCATTAAATTTGATATCTTGTTAAACAACTATTCTTCAGTCCCATTAAAACTTTTAAACGCCACGGATTCTCAGTTCTTGAAGACCTGAATCGAATCTTTTAAAAACTGATTGGAAATTAAAAAAAAAAATAAAGACTTGAATTGAAATGTTCATTTCAAAGTATTCTTTTGCTTCATTAGTCGGTGAATCAGAAAAAGATAAGATCAGAATACATCAAGGCGAGAACAGTTCTACAGTTCCAGATTATAGATATCCGTTGCTATCACATACAGATACTGCTGAGGGTAATGATAACTTAAACAAAATTTAACATTTGGTGTTTATATCTTAACAATAAATTCTTTTAAAACTCACAAAATGATTTGATTTATAAATTAAAAATCCCAAAATGTTAATTTTTAAGAAAAGACGGAAAACAATTAACATTATCGAAAAGAAATGAACTAATTACAGAAGAGTTAGAAATATTAAGCAAAATGAAAGATGTTTTATTCCTTTTTTTAGATCTAAAGATTGAAGAGGAAACAATTGTCAAATTTGAACTAAACAAAATACACGAATTTACTGATGCTCATGTCCTTAGTGAAAATGCAGAAGAAGGAGGGTGTGTTAATTCAGAAATATCTGTTGAACTAGATGAGAGAGAGCATGGTCTCAAAGAAGATTCAAATTTAAGTTTTGATAATGGAAAGAGGATCTATAAAGTCAGAGATGAAGATACAATGTGGGAACAAGACGAGAAAGCATGTGATTGCAGAGATACGTTTGCCAATGACGGAGCCAACAAAGACGAAATAATAAAGCAAATAGTGCCAACACATATTTTCGGTAATGATGACAATGTATATAAAAAAAATTCCAAGATCTTTCCTATTATGGTACAAATTGGGGAACATTAGCTTTAAATTTAAATAAAATAAAAAATATATATATTAAGCTGAATTATAACTATATGCCGATTTTAATAATGCACCAGTATTAAGATATTTAATACACAACACAATTACATGTTAGGCTACAAAAGGGGGTGGAGCATTATTCGTACGCAAAAAAAAAAATTACTGTGAACTCACACTAAACCAACAATTCTTTAAAATAGCACATAATGAGGTGATTTGCTATTTCAACATGTAAGAAACCGTCAAACTATATCAAAACTTACTACAGCATTATGTTTCGTCGTCAGTTAAATCTCACAAAAGTTATTAATAATTCACTGGACGTAATCCACTTGTCGATGTGACGTCAAATGTGACGCAGTTTGTTTGCAGTGAAAAACAGATCAAGTAATATTTTCTCAACAAAAAACGTATTCTATAATTAGATGAAATATTATTTACATATATTCTATAAACCATTAAGTTGATTCAAGGTCTTTATCAAGATTTTATTAATATGTTTTCTGTTTATTTCGTATTTAACGGAAACACTTGCAGGTATATATAGACAGAACGCAGATCAGAATTTTGCCAAATGAAATCTTTTGGCAATATGTAACATTGATTAATCGAAAAAGTAATGTATAAAACTTTTGCTAACATTATTCATTTTAAAGACTACAAAAAGATTACACTATAAGAGGCATCCCAACAAGACGTCATCACGTGACATCTTTAGAATAGAAAAAGATGCTTTAATAAATAAGTGAAAAGTTAAGGTAGTCCGATCCTGAGGTTTATAAAATAAGCAGTTAAGTAATCAATTGTACTCATAAAAGTATTTCTAAATTCACGAAGGTATGTAAATTTATCCACAGTATTTGTTCAAAGTCAAAGATTTAAGTTAATCATATCATGAAGGGAAAATTGCCAAATTTCAAGAATTTTTGCAGAAAAAGCGAATTGGATAATCAGCAATGTATTTTTCTAATTGTAAATTGATCAACAAAATAATATATTTTGGGATAAAAAGCGAGATGTATCCCGGAATTCAGAGAAATTTTCAGGATTTTAAATTCATATTTATTTGGTATTTTTGTCTTCTATTTTCGATTGGGAGGCTCGGGTTCGATCGCGTTTGCAGCACCGTCAATTAAACCTTAAACGTAAAAATAGGTAGTGACTTTTCCTTCCCTAATACTCGGCATAAGAAGTGAAAGTCACGGGTCTTTCGGATATGGCTTTAAAAGCATAGGTCCCGTGTCACGGTAGGCACTGGCACAATAAAGAACCACCAATGCTAAATGGCCCTGAGTGCCGAGGATAGGTCTAAATTTCAGCCCTTCACCGGCATACGGTGACTTCTCCATATGAGTGAAAAATTCACGAGAAGGAAGTTTAGCAACATACAATCAATCAATTAATCTTCTTTCTCCGTATTTTATAATACATAGTGTAAAAGACTTTTGCTATCATTGCAACACAACACAAATCACTTCTTATTTCATAGAAACAAACTTCCTGTAATGAAATCAACGCTGTCGCATCATGGATTTTTACATTTTCTGAGGAAATAACAACACATAAGAGAAATCAGTCACTTCTCTATGCTTCCTTCGACGAAATGATCACGATATAATACTTCTGAAATTATAAATTCACGCTGTGGATTCGATGGAATTTTTTTTAAATTCAAACATCAACTGATTATGACGTGTCATCTCTTGAAATTTGTCGATTATATTTTACGGTAGTACATGATTATTTTTTTTTATCTATTATACAAAAGAAAAATCTATGATGGATTGACAAAAATAAATACCTAGTCAATCGTCGCGGATCGCTTACAACTTAATTGAGATGTTCCCGTTAATAATCTACATAATTCTGTATAAAAAAATGGTTGGTTATTACGCTTAAATGATTTCTTCAAATCAGTGTTAATTCAAAATTACAGCATTGTCAGTAATCAATATAATTCCTAAGAGATTTTTATTCTTTTACCAACAAGTTTTGTAGCAAAAGGAAAATGTGTCCATATCGTACAATCTCGAAAATCCTATTTCGGGGGTAGGGGAGGGGGGATTTATTAGGATCGAACTTCTTTCAATACCTATTTTCCCCCAAATACTACAACTTATCCATTCATTGGCTTGAACTTTAACATACCTGATGAAAATAGGGGGAGGGGGGTGTTAACATACGTCCCAGTGATCAATGCTTAAATTATATATATCTTTGCCAAAAACAAATGGGAAGGGGTTGCGGTTTTGACGCCTTTTGGCTTGTCAAAGAATACCTTATTACTCCTGTTACTGTAACATGATCATGATAGGGTGCCACGTGAGGGGATCTGTTGCGAACCATTGATGTTTTAAGATTCCTGCTAGAAAACATAAAAACTTTGCTTTTTAAAGTTTCTACGTAATAAACATTTTTTTTTCATACATACGAACTTTTTATATTTATCGAATAGCATTTTGAGCAAATTCGCATGCATTTTGACAACTCCTCTGTGATCATCTGGTGATCATCATGTTTAATACTGTAGAGCCCCCTTTTTACACATTGCAAAACAAGATAAATACCTCAAAAGCTGCTCAAAAACTCTTTGATGTATTAGTAAAAACTTGATATATTCGGCAAAAGTTTAATTCATTCAATGCTACATGTATAATATCTCGACAATGTAGATGTAAATAACGTTATCTTTGAAATGCCGGATGTTTTCTATGTCTTGGTGAAGGCGATCGGACGGAGATCGTATAGCGATCGCTTTAGGTCTATGTTATTCAACACTTCCAAATGAAACTGCAGCTAGTTTAAGAACTACCATAAGTGCATCAGCCTATGCATAGCTTTGATAAATCGATTATGACGTCATGGTAATATTGAAAAGATGAAGCTCGCGGCGAATGAATAATAATTTTCATTTTCATACACTGTCACATACAGTCATTTCTCGTAAGGATACCTACCTTATTTTTATTAAATTTGATAAAATTTTATGACCAAGAGAGATTCAAGGATTCCACAAAACTTGTTTTATCTTCACCAGAATATAAATTATCTGATGACGGAGAGGGGACAGAAACTTTTTTTTTCTGTTGAATTGGTAGCGAGTTCCTTGTTTGGTTCCCTTTTTAGCAGGATAACAGTTTTTCTTACACTTTAAAGTTAGGCTATCAACATACAATTTTTAAAATTAAAAACAGAAATGAAGGCACACTGATAAATCTGAACTATATTGCCGTAAATGATTTTTCCTGTCTTTACTAAGGAATTTTCCATTTCCGTTCGTTTTAATGACTTTAGGTGTTATGCACTTAATAATTTGTTTTCGATAAATCTTAGCTCAGTAAGTAACCCCTTATCACCACGTTTATTATAACATGCTATGTGTTCACAATGTTTAAGAAGTGATAGAAAGGGAACAGATGTTTGATTTTTGAATAACTTTTCAATTTATCGATATATTTCACCTGAAAGCATTAGCCTTAATTCATTATTTACACAATAACGTATCAGAATATCGCCATCCACATGTATAACTAAAGACAAGGCTGTCCAGAAAGATGAGTAGGTCAAATCCATGCAAAAATTGGCATTTAAGGACAGATGATACAAACAAACTTGTGTCAAAGAATTCGAAAAATACAACTTGTGTCATGATTAAATGAATAAAATGAAGAACTTTCACCGTTTAGTTTTTAATTTTTTATTCAAATTTGGAAAAATGGAATTTAAAGTGAAAAATATTTTAATAGATTAATAAGGATGGTTTCAAAAGGGCACACTTTTGACCATCACAGAAGGTTTACAATTTCTTTATTTTCTAGAAATTTATTATTTTTATCATTTGCAACGAAATTAAGCATAGAAAATATATACCAATCCAGGCATCCAGTTTTTGTTTGTATTATTTGTCCTCAAACGGGCAAAAACACTTATGGCCAATTTAGGAGGTTTAATTAAAAATTAAATTATAATAAAAATTTTATATTGCAAAAATTGAACGAAATACATGCATAATCAGTAAAAGGATAAGAATAGTAATAATATTCATAATAGTTAGAATGATAATAAATTTTGATATTCAAACGTTTATTTTCAAAGGGTTATCATTTGGAAATTGGAAATATTACCCCCCCCCTCCCCCTACATGCACTCTCTTAAAATTTGCAGATATATGTGTGTCCAAGTGTACAACCCCTTGTTAAGTAAATTAGTAGAAAGATTCATAGAAATATTAGTGAAGTAAAATTAGTAAAAAGTGTAAGATAAAAACCTCCTTCACCCAAAATATAATTTTTTTAATAGGTAGGAAAATTTTTGTACTGTTTTTTTTTTCGTAAAAGCAGGGATATGATTATATTGTTTGATTTTGATAATTGATATGGGTCCTTTCTAAAAATCGTTTAAATAAAGAAACGTGAGACCACTGAAAGTAAGGTTGGGTCAGAGTTTTGGATAAAAATTTTACAAAGAAAGGATCATTTCATTATAAATAGGTATTTGACCTATAGGACCGGGCTTCGTTTTTTTTCTCTACAAAAACCTTGTCGATTTCCGTTCTGATTAATGGCATTAGGCTAAATACATCTAACAATTTGTTTTTTCCTAAATCTTTATTTCAGTGAGTAGAGGTAGGAGGAACCCTTACATTGATTTTCTGAGTTTGTTATCTCCAAATGTAATAATTGATATTTTTCTTTACTTGCATTGTACATAATAGTAATGTTTACTGCCTCTAAAATTCTATTATTCATGTCTAGGCTATTTTATCCATAAATATAATAAAACATGCCATTAATGTGTGAAAATCATATAGGCCTAAATCAAATCAGAGGGAGTACAGTTACTGATATATGTACCCAAAATTAATGTTATTAAATTCTAAGGAGTATATACAATTGACATTCATCGCAGCTCAATGCTGCCAAGAATACCTGTATTGTTTAACACATAGTGAGTTATTCTTGTCCTCAGAGAAAGTGTGCTTATACTGAGGTTTGTTCCGCCTGACTGACAACTGTACATTGGATTTTTACGATTTGATATCTCTTTATAGTGTTTCTTATATCAAGAATGGGCATTCATAAAGGATAGATAATTGAAGGAAAATACACAAGTCTATAAAAAAATATTAAAATATTCTTTGAAAAGGCGATAATTAAAAACTTTAAAAGTGTGGTACCAGGTGGATTCGAACCCCCGACTTTAAAATGTTTGTTAACACAGTGTAAAAGTTAGCGCATATATCAACTGAGCTAATCAGACTATAATATTTACAGGTATAAATTTGAAGCAGATTATCAAAATCAGGTTTCCTTATTTTTTGTAGGATTTTTGTGAATTTCGACCTTAGGGCAGGGGTGCCCCTAAAAAAAATCCTATCTTGAATTATTCCTTACATCCAAACCTATCAAAATATCACAATTTTATTTAGGGGCAGGCCTGCCCTGAAGGACTTCTAGGCCAAAATTCATGCAAAAATCAACGCTTTAACGGACAAAATGATGTTTCGGCCAACTTTGGAGGTTTCTTGTAAAGTTGTAAATAGTAAGTTTTAGGTGTAAAATACAGATTTGAAAAACTTAGACATATATACGGTAGATTGATTGATTGATTGATTGTATACTGTTTAACGTCCCTCTCCAGAATATTTCACTGATATGGAGACGTCACCATTGCCGGTGAATGGGCTGCAAATTTGGGCCTATGCTCGGCACTCAGGGCCATTGAGCAGGGAGGGATCTTTATCGTGCCACACCTGCTGTGACACGGGGCCTCGGTTTATACGGTCTCATCCGAAGGACCGCCCCATTTACGACAAGCAAGGGGGTACTGAGGACCTATTCTAACCCGGATCCTCACGGGAAAAACAACAAATAAAGATTAAATTTTAAATGTCACTTTTTCCGGGAAATTATTCTCTCCTATAGGTCAATTCTTTTGTCAAAGTGAATACATCCAAAGTTTGAGGAGAAAATCATTTTAAAATGCTTTTTAAAAAACAGCAGAGCCAATTGCAATATCGACATAGAATCATATCTGGACTGTTTATATTAAGTATCCCTTTTCCTATATATTTTTTATTCTGAATTTATCTGTGCCTTTTCCCTAGAAAATATGCTCAGATGTGGCCTATGGAGCCTTGCATTTCCTTAATCAAAGTGTTGTAAATTTGCAAGCTTACATTGTGACAAACATTTATTTCTGTTTACCTGAAAATATACACGTGTCTCAAAATGACAATAAAGCTATACAAAAATAATAAATGTCCTTAGTGTTTGATTTAATTATTCTGTAAAGCAGATTGTTACCATTCTCATTTCTTTTCTTTTTTAGGTTACACCGCCAGTTATTTGGGTAATTACAATATTTGGAAACCAAAGTCGTATGGTATGTACTTTGCTAAATCTTGAATTTGTAAGTACCTACTTCCCCCTACAAGATAATCATTTTAGCTACTTTCTACTTTTCTAAAATCAGTATCGGCTACAAGTCCTCAACCGAACGCTGTTGCTAAGGCGAAAACATTAAAAGCAAGAAATCTACGTGAGCAAAAGCATTTTAGGAAAATAGATGATTGAATTTTAATTTAACTAGCTGTCTGTCACTTTTTGGAGGCTTTTTAAGCCATAATATGTTTATTTAATCAGATTAATCAAATATATTATTTCTATATATAAAATGCTTAGGGTAACGATGTATTCAATTCGCCAATTAAAACATAAAACAACATAATATGATAATTTGAAAGAAAACTTTAGAGTTTTACCTTAAATGAAAAGTAGTACATAAAATCTCTACAGTTTAGGGAATACCGTTAGTATTTTTACATTGCAATTAAAACATTTTGAATTTTACATAAGGGAAAAATAATTCATAGGGAATGATAATAAAAAAAAGTCTTGCAGATGCTTTGACACAAATTTAATGTTAACATTTTCTCAAATTTTCTGAATAATTTCGTGAATGTTATCTGTATTTTGCTATAGCAATTCATACGGAAATATAATAGAAATCTTATTTTTCTGGAATTTACTAGTATTTAATCTAGCTAGAGGAGTTTTATTGATATATCTTCCACTTTCATAAATTATTATTTTATCCTTAAAATACTTTAAAGAGAAAAAGCTATTCAGTTGTGTAATAATGACAAAATATTAAAACTATAAGGTTTAGAATAGAAATGTACGAAAGCAAAACCAACACACTGGTTTTGTCAGCCTGTGTTTCATGTTCTGCACAGAGTTTGACAAATTGAATACATCCGTGAAACGTTTGTAAACAGGATGCGAGGTCTCGCAAGTAAGTTAAGGCAACGTACAGAGGTTTCTATACAATTGACTTATTAAAACGTTGATTTGGTACCCACGGCATGCTCCTAACAAGTGCATATTATGACGTCAAATTATATCTTCTTTATATTTTACTTTATCTATTAAAGATCCTATTGCGCCGACGTTATTTTGTTTATGTACCTATAATATTTAAATTGAGAGATCAATGACATCATAATAAGACGTCATATTGTACAATTGCTTCATAATGCTTGGTGAAATTAGTATGTTTAAAAAATAAGCTTGGAACTTCTCTGTGTAAAAATTACACAAATTATGCATTTTTATTTGCTCATTTGCATAGAAATGCCTCTACCTAGCTTTAATTTTCTTGCGCTGTTGTTGTAAATGCGTACGTTTCACCAAGTGTGTGCATTTGTTCAACTCCGAACACACCACCAAATACTGATTCACCAAACTGATGTGATGATTTTTCTTTCGCACATTCTCCTCTGAAAGGTAAAGTTAAAATTTGTGAAAGTGCAATAATATGTCAATCAAACGCTTTTAAACGTTTTTAATAACTTCTAGAAAAATAAGCATTTCATTATATTTTCGTATGAAATGCTGTAGCAACATAAAGCAACATATACATGTAAGTCTTGAAATTATACCGAAAATTTGAGAAAATATTAAGGACAGATGACACAAACAAATTTTTTCTTTGAAAAAGATTAAATATCATGTCAAAAGTTTAGAAAAGCGGATGGTTCTTAGATTTTTTTCTCCGAAAAACTGGAATATGAAAAAGACTTGGAAAATATTAGTAATATTTCAATGAAAACACAAATATAGACAAATCACATTCAGTAAAGGTTTACAGGTGAAAATAAATTTCAGAATATGTTATCTTGGCGCTAGAAGTGTAATATAAACTAAAGAAAAATATACCGAGCCAGATGAATTTTATTAGGAAAAGCTAAATGGTTAAAATCAGCCTATGTGATATTGCCATTTTTTTTATTATTTCGATCTTCCTCTTAAAATTCGCCTGGCTTGGCATATTTTTCTTAGGTTTATATTACACTTTTAACGCCAGGATAACATATTTTGAAATTTATTTTCACCTGTAAACCTTTACTGAATGTGATTTTTCTTTATATGTTTTTTTATTGAAATATTACTAATATTTTCCAAATCTATTTCATTTTCCAGTTCTTCGGAGAAAATTTTTTAAGAACCATCCACTTTTCTAAACTTGTGACATGATATTTAATCTTTTACAAAGAAAAAAAAATGTTTGTATCATCTGTCCTTAACATCAATGTGTGTCTAAGCACCTGAAACATTGTCAATACAATGAATGTATTGTATTGTATCTTTATCTATTTTTATGTGCCCGCATCGAAAGATCTAAGGCGTATATTGTTTTTGTCCTGCCTGTCTGTTTGTCTGTTTATGTGCAAACTTTAAACTTCGCCATAATTTTTGAACCACGAATGATAGAGACTTCATATTTGGTATGCATTCTCCACTAGCAAAGCTCTTTCAAATGACACCAAGGTCAATGACTTTGTGACCTAGACTGTGACCTTTATGATAAAAATAGAGGTTTTTTGCAAACTTTAACCTTTACCATAACTTTTGAACCATAAAAGATAGAGACTTCATATTTGGTATGCATACAACGCTTTTTATGTTTTTTTTAAAAGACACCATGGTCAATGACCTTATGACCTTGACTGTAGCCTATATGCTAAATATAGTTTTTTTTTACGGAAATTTTTAACCTTCACCATAACTTTGAACGAAGAAAGGCAGAGATTTAATATTTGACATGCATAATCCGCCGAAATTTGGCTGAAACATTGCCCACTTGGCGTTAAAAAGCAATTAGCACTCAATTCGCTAGTGAAGCCCTTTCGCATGGCACCAAGGTCAATGACCTTGTGACCTTGACTGTGTCTTATATGTCTTTTACAGTACCCGCATCGTTATTCTTTACAATTCTATCGTGTCCTATCGTGCGTATATCCTATCGTATCGTGCGTGTATCCTATCGTATCCTATCGTATCGTGTTTTCCGTTTATCAGGTTTTGCGTTTTCTATCGTGTTTTGCGTGTATCGTGTTTTCCGTGTATCGTGTAGATCGTTTATCAGGTTCTATCGTGTATCGTGTTTTGCGTTTATCGTGTACATTCGGAAACCCTCGGTTTTTTTTTTCTTTACTATAGAAAGAAATTACTGATCTATTCCGAGTTTCTTTTTCGTTTTGTTAACTAAAATAAGATTACTTCAACCGAAAAGGAGAAAAGAAAATTTCATCCCTTTCTTTTTCATCCTTAAAAGAAATATTAAAGCGTAGAAGGAAAATAATAAATAAATAGCGTAATTCACGAATAAATAAATCGATCAATTAATTAATATTTAAATGAAAAAAAAATTATATCTTGGTAAGGCAGAAAGTGATTGTCAAAAATTAAACAGTAACTGTATTTTTCGGAAATGAAATTATGCTCAGCAATCGATCACCTGTCTTTTTTTAAAAATAATTTATCGAATTATATGAATTTTTTATTCAAAATTAGATTTTTTTAAATATAATTTTCTTAAATGAATAAGAGTTACTGGAGAAAGATATTTGGTAAGCTACGGTGTATGAATACCCAAAAAGCAAATAAATGAATAATAGGCAGGATATTGATATGTATCTTTTTTCATGCAATATTCTTTTTTCCCCTTATTTATCGTCTGATAATATAGTAATATGTTAACGCCTTTAAACTGCATGTATGCACAATTAATTAAAGTCTTCATGTTACAAAAATAATAAAACATAACACATTAATCAAGATGATTTTAAAACCGATTTTGGCCGTATACGTTCAAATTTTAAATTAATGTATACAAGGGAAAACATGATGTTTTTTAAACAGCTTACCTTTTGGGCGTGAAAGTAAACTGAAAATGTAATCCATCGGGGTGTCAAATCGAAGACCTTTCCTTACCAGAAAACTTACACGTATGCGTAGCTCTCTAATTAGCACACTACCTTCCTGTGCGGTCAACATCCCCTCCCCCTTCTCCCCTAACTGACATCTCGGGGCGTGTGTGTGATCATCGTCAACAAACCTTTACTGATTTCTCACCTGGGGTCAATTAGTAACCTCGAATACTACCTGGTTCTAATGAAACGCATCTACTTATTTTCGGGATTGTGTTCCTAACTTGTGTGAACAAACTTATCCAAGATTTAATTCAAAAATATATATATATATATATATATATATATTATTATAACAGTAACTTGATCCGAAGGGTCGTATCACGTCGAGTTGACTCGCGGATCATCAGATCTAACGAGACGCGAAGCGTCGAACTTGATATGATGATCCGCGCCTGTCAACGAGACGTGATACGGCTCTTCGGATCAAGTTACTGTTATAATGATAAATTTATTATATACCCTCTTATAACTAGCTAAATATAGCAGAATAAAACTTTAGAGATCAATTGTATAATATTTATCCATACAACAAAGAGTAATTACAAGGGACTTTTTTACGCGCAAGAAAAATAACGTCATGTTTTTGCGTACTACGTCATCAGTTTCAGAGAGTGGTGATATGGATACAGAAAACCACAGTGTGGTGATCCGGAAAATCGGATCAAACTCGGTAAAATTAACAGTAACAAAAACAAGGATATTGATGGGTATGTAATAAATTAAATAATTGTACGATTTATGGATTAAAAAAATCATCTCATTGCTTGAATCTTAAATAAAAATTCAAATAAATCAATTTAATGAAATGGAGTCCCTAATCTCAATCCGATGATTTATTTCATTTCGTACAATGGTTCCATAATGCTTATGTAAATAAGTCTTTTAATAAACATTTCAAAAAAAATAAAACTGTACTTGTGGTACATGCACTTTCGGATCATCGGGTTTTCTGCATAACGGGGTCAAATTAATTCTAGGAAACAATTTCATTAACAATTTCATTGATCGTAGAAACGGGTGAAATAGTTCTAACATTCTAAACTATGAAAATTAGCTCGCACTATATTTCTAACATTCTAAACTATATGAAAATTAGCTCGCATTACTTTTTCTACGGTATCTTTCTATAATTATAAAACAAAAAAAGTCGTCTGATTCCGCCGTGACCATGCAAGACAAGTAGGTACATCGAATCAATTTATAGTATTAATCGATTTAATTCCATACTTATAAAACTTATTTAAGAATTCAATATTATCTTAGGCTATTAGATTAGATCTTGTTTCTTATTTTAAATTTGTTACGGAATTTTAACATCCCGCCCTTCGAATATGCCTCATATGAGATTACCGGGTCTAAAATGATTTTCAGGGTTAAATAATTCATTTGCCGACTAAACCCTATTTTTTGTTATTATTAGAACAGTACACACAAAGCTAAATAGCAATGATTAATAATTATGTAGTCGGAAAAGTCGCATTTCACTCTTTTTATATTTGTTTATTAATTTTTGTGTTTTGGGTATTTAACCATTCAATACTCGTAAATTAATAGGAAGTTTTCAGTATCTGATATATAAATGTTTACATGTACATACATGTAAGTGAGAGCTAAGCGTAATGATTTTACATTTTTTGAACAATGATATTACCAGTTAATTATAATCTAATTTTTTTCTTTTTTTTAAATATTTTTTTACAGGTAAGTCTTGTTTTCACAAGAATCACTAATGAAGGCATTTAGAAGAAAGCAGGGTTAAAGAACCACTAAAATCAGATGGAGAAAACTATGAAAATCAGATTGAGAAAGTGGGACTGGATTTGACTAATCCCTGTGAAGCCACCATCCAACATCACAAACCAGGACCCAATCTGGAACCCACAGGGCAAGAGAACGAGAGGGCACCCAGCAGACTATTATGAAGTTTTATGTGTTAATTGATTACTTTTTATTCTTAAAAATATTTTCTTAACAAAATTGCAATTATTACCTGAAATTATCACACTGATTTTGAATATTTGGTGAATATTTGGTGAATAAAACACATAGTTTGATGCCTAAATGCTTGATTTATTTTCATTAAATGCTGGAAAAAAAAAACAGGGGGTGGGGATATAAAAAATATCAAAACTTTCTTATATGTGCACTAACCCCTACTTTTTATGCTATGAAAAGAAGCCATAATACCCAAAAAAAACTGTACAACAATTTGCTTAAAAAGTTTAATTGTAGAAATATGTTTTTCTTTGGTTTTTCGAGCAATTTCATAGGGAAAAATGTGCCTAATTTTGACATGAGTGAACAACATTTTTGGGTACAAGTTATCTAATTGGTATTTATTTGCTCATATTTTCCTTAAAAAATCAACTTTGCGATACTTTCAAGTAAATTTAAACCAAATGAAGTTTTAATTCACTGTATTTATAAGTTTTATGAGGTATTTTATGGTCTAGTAGCATTTTTAAAGGAAATTTCCCATGCTCTATTTTGGCCTATGTTCAAAGTGTTGAACCTCTCTTAAATGAACACTAATATATACTTTTCTTGTCTTTAAATTATTCCTTGGGTATTACATTTTCAGAAAAATATAAGCATTTGGAAAGTTTAATGCACGTTCCTTTTCCGAGTATCATAAGGATACATCCTTAAAGTGCATTTAAAGTCTTGATCTGCTAACGTTAAAAAATATTATATACAGATATATTTATAGTTGAAAGTGTGTTTATATAACTACCATACGAATATGAAACACCTTAATATCCAATCTTTCACAACACTCTTCCAAACACACACACAAAAATGCTATATTTATTAATTTTTTGCATGAATAAACATTTTTCTTTAAAAATAATATAATTAATCTGTGTAAATGTCATAGAAGTTGAAGTATAAACTATAAAGCTACTCATCCAATCCCCATAATTTGTTTAAGGTCATTTAAATATACATCATAAATTAATTTAAAAAAAAAACAGATTAAGACACCCCCACTTTTTTACCATAATGAAAAATAATAAAAAGTTCAACACTACTCGGGGGATTATAAGTTACTGTTTGTAATAATTATTATGGAAAATAATCTCTATACCATGAATGGGGCTGCTTAAATCCTACTCTCCTATCACAGAATTAATTATTCAGCACTTTCAGGTAGGACTACCATAAAAGTGAAAAAGTTGTGCCTTGTAGCTTTTTCCTGTAATTTTACATTATTTCAATGCGTTTTATGTATAGATATAAAGTTTATAACCTCTAGTCTAGGTATATTTTATAAAATTCACGGGCATCGAGATGTTGTTCCCAGCACTTTTCCTATTCAGAAATTTGTCTTAAAGAAAATACAATCCATTTCATTGTGAACAATTATCCGTATATCGTTGAACTCTTACGATCTTTATAACCGTACAAAATGTTCCCCTTACTGATAAAAGTGAAGTCGTTTTTGCCGAGCTCGGCAAACATTCCATGCATACATAAGCAGTAGTAGATTTCCCATTGAATTAAAACTCATGTTAATAAAAAATCAAATATGAACAGTTTCTTTATACGGATTTTCTCGAAATATTTCAAGGCGTATTCCCTAGCTATGGGCGTCCTTAACCTAGCTGCGACTTTACCAAAATTTTTTAAAATTTAGTACTTAAGATGGAAAAATAAATCATCAATCCCTATATAAACCATACTATTCTAGCAGTGCTTTTGATTTGAAAAACTATGCACCGAGAACTTTTAATAGAAACAAATAAAATGTTTCAATGTATGCGGTATAGTGTTGAATTAATGCATCTTTTTTGTAACAAATCGACTAGACGGGGGAAAGGCTGATCGGAAAGTAAAAAAAAAACATTGTCTGATTTCATGATACAAATAAATTGTAGAAAAATATAAGCATATTACCTTAACCCTAAGCTTATTTCCGCATGAACCAAACATTTTATTCTTGCTAAATGATAAAAACTTCGATGTCATGTGTTTTTCTTCATTGATTCTCGTTATATTTTACTTTCATCCTGCTTATACTGCTTATACTGATCAATGAATGTCAAAATAGCACTTATATTCTAAAAAAGAATGGTCCACGATTTATTGTATAGTAATAAAACGTAGATAAAAAAGTCCCAATGCATACTTTGGCATCAAACCCGGTTTAACAGTCTCTTCGAATGGACCGGTTTCCTTGTCCCGAATTTAAATCTGCGACGTGAGGATTAACCTCTTACTCCAAGACTCTAAAGCAGATCCTGGAATCACTGCGTCTCGCTGGCGACGAAAGCAACACGTTAATTCAATATATAGCTATTATTAAGAATAAACATTTTAAACAGGTTTGCATTCACATTTTAGGAATATATGTACATTCGTAAGAAATATCCTTATATATTTTTTTTAAAACGCATTAATTCACCGTTGACTAAAGTTGTAATTAAAAAAGACAGGGAGTCCCGTCTTAAAATAGCTGCAGAACTGTAGCTCTCTGAAAAAAAAAAAATAGTGTGTATACTGACAGAGCTACAGTGCCACCCTTTGGAAAAACTGTATATCTATTGCGCACAAAAACGGGTAATGTTCCTCGATATATTTCTCCATTTTTTTTAAACTCTCATCACATACATATTACAAAATTGAAACTGTGTGTTCCATATTCGTTCACTATAATTCTTTTTAATTGCTCTCCCGGCCCTGAATTTGATATCATCGAAAATTTTGCATATTTATAAAGCCATGTTGGTTTGTAAAAATAGTTGGGTCCAACGCGCTACGTACCGGTGAAAACTACGAGAGTACTTGATAGAAGAGTAAGGAATTTACTGAAATCTGGCTTTTTTGCAATGGAAGTAAGAATTTGGAAATAATTAATCCTACACCATGCGAAATTTTTTGCAGCAATAAGTTTATCTTTTTTTCAGTGGGTGGCCCTGCCGCTCTCTGATCTGTCAATATATAGTTATTAGGAGAACTACAGTTCTGCAGCTAGTCTTAAAACACATCTATTCAATAGAGTTTTATACTTAACGAACAAATATAAAGTAGTTCAGCTGAATGTAAACATTTTACTTATTTTTCTTACATATTGTTTTTATTCTATTAGTTCATAATTTATCCATTTGCTAGCTTTAAATTTTATCATTTATTGATTTTTTTTTATAATTTGGAAATGTTGTGATTTCAGGTGAAATTCTTAGTTATCCGCCGGAAGTCAGATGTCTACTGTATTGTTTACTGTTAAGTGATCAATATCGGCTGAATCTCAATGAACAATCTCACAGAATCATAAGGGACAAAATCAGAGATAGATGTTTTATAGATCTAAATGATGACGATTTGGTAGATCTTCCTGATGGAATCACAGAGACTCATAAAGGTGTTATAACCTTTATATCAGAGGACATCCGACATGACGTCATGTACGCCTTTGTTACGGAGTGTCTGGTGGAGGACAGTGATCTGGAGTTTTTCCTGACCACGGTGTCACGTGACGTGATCTCAGAATACTGCCGGACCTGGTGGTATACGAAGAGTAAGGGAGAGAGATGTCTGTATTTACCGGACAGTCCGGAGAAATTGTACTACCTCTTCATAGACAAACTACAGCTGGACATCATCACACACTGTACTGTGTCTGACAGGGGGATTCATGGAAGGATCAGTAGACTTTGTGAGTATATTTTACCACTTGTACATGTGTAACAAAAATTATTTATTTTAACTTTTCTTTGTTTTAAGTTCTACTAGTCATAAACTAGAAGAGCTTATGCGATAGTAATTCGTCCGTCCGTCTGTCTGATTGTCAGTCTAGGTGTCTTTGTATCCTTTTTTTTTTATTTCGATGAACGTTGTTGACTTGGTTACAAAAAAATAAATATTTTTGTGAAATACTTTCAAAATGCTCTTTCCTACAGTTTTGATCTGATTTTAATATAAACTGGCACACTAGTAGACAACACTAATATACATAATTTCATATTTTGGTTTTTGATGTCGATGAACGGCGATGTCATGGTTGCTAAAAATAGAAATTTCTGTGAAATGCTTTAAAAATCTTTCTCTGAATACAGTTCTAGTTTGATTTTATTATAATGTGGCATGTAGGTAAACTGCACTGAGATGCATATTTTTTTTTTCATTTTAATGAGTGATGTTGCAAATGTAACTAAAGTAAAAGAAATACTGTACGATTTTATCAAAAGCTATTCCTTCAGTTGTCGTTTATTGCAATATATTGCCCCAAAAGGAGAATTAATCAAGCTTCTTTATTCTATTAATAGCAGTTTGAAAGTTTCAAGTCCCAACTGCCATTTTTCTCTTCCTTTGTTAGTAGTACAAACCAATAGAGCTTCAATCTTGACAGAAACTTCAGGTTTTTAGCTCACCTCAACGAAGTTGGGGGAGCTTATGTAATACCCTCGGCGTCGGCGTCGGTGTCGGCGTCGGCGTCGGTGTCGGCGTCCACGTCGGCGTCGGCGTCCCAGGTTAAGGTTAAGTTTTTTGGAGCAGTTTTCTTTTTAAGTACTTCTGTGTCCTATATTGATTAGACATGCATGGAAGACGGTTCTAGTGTGTTTCATTGTATCAGTCAAAGTTTCAGATGCTGCAATTTCAGCAAAGGAATGACCAGGTTAATGTTTTTGGAGCAGGTTAACATTTTTGGTGCAGTTTTTGGTGTAGATTTCATTTCCAAGTAACTATAATCCCTATGTTGACCAAACTTGCATAAATAATACATCTAAGGATGGATACTACTGGGCTTGCTTTGGATTCTGAATCTGACCTACATTTTCCGGTTGATTGAACAGGTTAAAGTTTTTGGTGTAGGTTTCATTTCCAAGTAAGTATAATCCCTATGTTGACCAAACTTGCATGGATGATACACCTAATGATGCATACTACCGGGCATGCTTCGGATGCTGAATCTGACCTACATTTTCCGGTTGAGTGAACAGGTTAAAGTTATTGGTGCATGTTTCATTTCCAAGTAACTATAAGCCCTATTTTGACCAAACTTGCATAGATAATACATCTCAGGATGGATACTACTGGGCTTGCTTTGGATGCTGAATCTGACCTACATTTTCCGGTTGATTGAACAGGTTAAAGATTTTGGTGTAGGTTTCATTTCCAAGTAACTATAAGCCCTATGTTGACCAAACTTGCATGGATGATACATCTAAGGATGCACACTACCGGGCTTGCCTCGGGTGCTGAATCTGACCTACATTTTCTGGTTGAGTGAACAGGTTAAAGTTTTCATCAAGAGATGAAAATTCTCAAATTTGCTTCAGATGCTGGATTTTGATTACATTTTCATGAAGAAGAACCAGTTTAAATTTTTTATGTAGATCTATTTCAAAGTATCAGATCAAAATTGCTTAAATATTTTCATTTTTGGAATGTACACTTTTTGTTGGTTAATTGTGTGAATTTGCCTTATTAAAAGACAACATTCGTTGAGGTGAGCTCTGTAATCTCTGATTACCTATGTTTAAATATGAACATGTATTGGTGTTGTATGCTAATTATTGTAATATTTTTATGTACACATATTAAGAATTTTCTTTATCATTTATTATGCAAAAATAGTTTTTAATTATTTAAATGTAATGTAAGAACTACATGTGCATGTAGATAGGTACATAGAATGTAATCGCATATTATTCCTAATATTTGAAACAGTCTTTATAACATGAATTATACAATATTTATTTGAAATATTCTGTCACACTTGAAAATAATTAACATGTAATCAATAGGTATTGAGGAACTGTTCTGCGCAAATATTAAAGAAAGGCATCCTCTAAGAGATATTAAAGTACATAAGCTTTACTATTATCCTTCAGAATTATACAGTCAATCTGATTGGTTTAAAGCATGTCACATGATTGGACAGCTGTTGTCACCCTTTAGACGACAATGACATAAAGCTGGCATGCATGGTTACAACGTGTTGTTGCCCTTGGAATGAAAATACAAGAGTTAAATCGAGATAGTTCTAGTTTATAATTATAGGATGGTTGATTCATAAGTTTGTGGAATTTCCTTCTTTAATATTATTGCGAGTTGTTGAAAGCAAACAAAATGTATATTGATAAAATAAAGTCATTATGCAAAAATATTGGAAAATAACTCTCCAAATTCAATTTACCAATGTCACAAGAACTTAATCAAAATGGATAGTTATCGAGTGCGGAGTAGACTTCGGCGCAACGTTAAGTATGTCACATCACGCTATAAGCGCACCTCACCCCCTGACTAATTCAAATAATTCCATGTATTTCTACAGAATGCTGCCTTTTCTTCAATTTTTACGCATAAAGATCCTGGGTATCCTTTTGCACCGACTTATCTTCATAATAAACTCATATTTAGAATACTTTCGATCTTTCCAAATGATGTTCTAGTTTCGGTAGCAATTTCAAGCACAGAACGTCATCGGCTTACGTCCATTAAACCTTACATGTAATTTGCCAACAAGGAAAAACAAACTCTCCGAAAGGCGGCCACACCTTTAATCAATCGCGATGGAAGTACTATTTTTCTTAAATTTCTAACGGCACTGGAAAACTAGTTTCTTAATGCATTTTTCTCCAGCCTGTATAAGTAGTATACATGTTTAAGTAAGAGTGTTCATGATATTTTCACAAAACTTATAACTTGATTGAAAATTGACGTGATATTACAATGTAAAGATCGTCAACAATTCATCGACTAATAAATTAATTTTCCATTTAAATCAGTATGATATCACACAAAAGAGTCACGAGAGGTCAAGCAGTCGTAAGAATGACATTTTCGTTTTATATACCACTAGCTAAGTGCGGTTTTTTTTCTCATTTCACGTATTAAGAATTTAGATGATATCATAGAGTTCATGTCTCACCTTCATTATTAAACATCCGTTTCTATGGAAACTGTTCTAGCGTTTCTATCATGAATATTTGAAATATTTTTATAGAAAAAAAAACAAGTGTTTATATTATCATTTGTACATTGTATTTTTCAATTATTTTTTTCTTAGAAACAAATGAAATATGAAGAAATTCCGCAAATGCTTGGATAAACCCAAGTGCATGTACTTTCCAGTAAAAAAAATCTCCAGATTACAGTTTTTAGCAGATTTTCCTTGTTTTATTTTCTTGGTTTTGCTAATGTAAGACGTCCAAATGAATAACATTTATCATTTATCATAGGGTTGCCTAATATTATTTTTCCGGAACAGATACAGAGGTGACTACAGCCTTTTCAACAGTTGTTTACAATGCTGTTTGGAGTGTTAATAGTCATAATGCCGCTGCACGAGCACTGATCCTTTGTTGAATATTCCCTCAAATCCAGTCAATATGTAGTGTTATAAACTTTTTGCGTTTCTATAGTTATATTGGGATTATAAATAGACAATATGATTAAAAAAATATTACTTTTCTTAAAAAAATGTGTTAAGTATGCATTTAAAAATGTAATATTCCTTAAAAAAGTTGTTCTCCACCTAATACATGTAGAGAAAAAATATTAATGCCCATAAATGTCTTATAACCCTATAAGGTGAGGAGCAGGAGAAGGAAGGAGGTACATGTACATGTATGCTGTCAAGAGTCATGTCCTTCACACTAAAACTTAAATGAGAAATTGTCTTGAATTATATTACATTTATTATCTGGTGTATGATACAAGCATTGAGATCTCATCTTTTTCACTTTTTCTACTAGAATTATTTCATCAAGTTTTTGTTGATGTTTTAATAGGTGTATCTTTAAAATTACTCAATGTCACAACATATAGCTCAAACTTTTAATGGTTAGATCACTCTATTTTCGGAGCGTAAAAAGAGTTTGTCAGTACTGTAGATGTACATGCATTGTACATATATTTTTAATTTTGTTTTAAACTCATAATAGTATATGATTATGCACTAATGTGTTGCACATGAAGGACTTTTAAATTTTAAAAAAGTTAGCGTCAAAGTTTAATAAAAAAAAATTAGGAAAAATACCTTTTTCTCAATTTATCCAAAAATCATAGAAATATAAGTACAAAATTAAGATATAAACAGTGCAACTATTACAGGATCTAAAAAAAGAAAAATATATAACTGAACAGACTCGAAGGAAACAATATCATTGGGGGGGGGGGGTTGACAGCTAAACATTTTCAGTGGAGGGAGGGGGTTATTATCAACCAACAAACATTCCTTGGCAAACGAAAGGGTCATTTTTAATGGCGAGCGGCCACAGCCATATAAAGTAACTACATGTGTACGTTTTCCTTAGTTTTCTATATTTAGTAAAGATGCTTTAATTATTATACGTCAGCTTATTACTAACATATTTTGGAGAGATTTCTTGATTAACTGTTATTGTTAACTTTTTAGCTCACTTGAAACTGAAAGCTCAAATGAGCTTTTCTGATCAAAATTTGGCTGTTGTCTGTCGTCGTCGTTGTTGTCGTCGTTGTTGTCGTTAAATTTTTCGACTTCTTCACAAGAACCACCATGATAATGCAACCAAACTTACCACAAAGTATCATAAGGTGAAGGGGATTCAAGTTTGTTCAAATTAAGGGAAACGCCCTTATTCAAGAGGAGATAATTTAGAAATAGTGAAAAATTAATGGCATGTTTTAAAAATCGTCTTAAGAACCACTGTTCCAGGAAAGATGAAACTTATAGGGAAGCATCTATCTTCAGGTTGTGTAGATTCAGGTTTGTTAAAAGCATGACCCCTGGGGGTAGGGCGGGGCTACGATGGCCGATCATATTTTTACCTAGAAATATGCAGAAAAAAATCTTTTGAAATCCTGTTCTCAAGAACCGCTGTGTCAGGAAAGATGAAATTTATAGGGAAGTATCTTCAGGTAGTGTAGATTCAAATTTGTTCAAAGCATGACCCCCGGGGGTAGTGTGGGGCCACAATGGCCGATCAAAGTTTAACATAGAAATATATAGGAATTTTTTTTTAAAAATCTTCTTCTCGGGAATAGCAAAAGCATGAATGATCATAATTTATGGAAGCATCTTCAGGTAGTGAAAATTTAATTTTGTTCAAATTATGATCCCTGGGGGTAGTGCGGGGTCACAATAGCTGATCAAAGTTTACATTGAAATATATAAGAAATTCTTTTTAAATTTTCTTTTCTGGAATAGCAAAGCCATGATTGATCATATTTTATGGAAGCATCCTCAGGCAATGGACATTCAAGTTTGTTCAAATCATGACCCCTGGGGGTAGGACCACGACATGGAATCCATATTTTACATAGAAACATAAAGAAAAAAATTTAAAAACCTTTTTTTTTTCATAAAAAGCAAATCCATGATTAGTCCCATTCATATGGAAGCATTCTCGGGTAGTGTAGATTCAATTTTGTTCGAATCATGATGGGGGTAAGCCGGGGCCACAATATAAGTTCAAATGTAAAGGGCAATAAAGCTACATTGTACAGGTTGTCAAAGAAATATGTAAGCATCCTTATTTAGTGTAGATTCAAGTTTGTTCAAATCATACCCTTTCCCTTTTAAAGACCTTTTTGGAACCACTATTGGGTTGCAACTTTTCAATGATAAACTGATTTATGCTTTTTTACAAGCCACATTACTCAGGTGAGCGATGTGGCCCACGGGCCTCTTGTAATTGATACAGTGGGAGTCCCTAAAGAAATACTGAAATGGGACCAGGAGGCAAGAGAGCGGTATGTGGAGTACGCTAAGAGAGGAACACAGAAAGTCCACCACGCCCGGGGGATGATTGTAGGATGTGCTGGGGCTGGGAAAACCACGCTGCTAAAACGTCTGCTCGGATGTAGTAAAGAAGAGATTGATAATGTAAAATCTACTGAGGGCTTGGAGGTGCATGAGGAAATATTTGATATATGCTATGAAACAAAATCAATTAAAGGTAAAATTTTGAAATTCACTATCCTAATTTGTGCACTTATCTTTAAATTCACAAAAAAATAAGCATGAAAAATAAAAACAAGTAAATGCTTATTTAATCTAATGTTTCTAATAATTAACAATAAAAACGCCGTATTTCCGTAGATTGCATTTCTATTTGAAATACAGTTGAAAAAATCCAATCTCAAGTATTGTTTAAAGAACAAGGTAAGGCAACTGTGTAATCTGGCCAGCTATTTGATTTAAAAATCAGAAAACTGCAATGGTATTATTAGTTTATGGTTAAGAATTTGAAATGATGATTGTTTTAAAACAAGCACTAATTTGGATTCAAAGTTTACATAAAAGCCTTTAGAGGGTACAGCTTAAGCACATTTATACGAATTTCCTCAATTCAGGTAGAATTTCATCATATTTGAGATAGTTTTCCTACAGCGCACACGTGTCTATCTGAGATTTTTACACATAAAATACCTCTGATACTAGGGTTTAAAATATTGAAATCCGGTTTTTAGGCTAGCTTGTGCTTTACGTTTTCCAAAATAAAATCTGCTGTTAAATTGTTGAAAATTGGCATGAAAATTAGAAAATTAAAGAAATTCCATATTCTTGTGTCTCATTAGGACCAATGTGTATTTACATGTAAGATTTAGACAAATGCTCATTTTGTGGTAGGTGTGACAGCAGGTTTTTAATCATAAACTTTTGCATTATTCTGAAAGACACTTAAAATTGGGGGGCCAAAAAAGAGTCTTACCTTATTTTGTCCTTTTAAGAAAAGTAAGTCAAACTCAAAGGGAAAAAGGGTCAAAATCAAAGTGTATTTAAAAAGATATTGTCATAAGAATTAAAACACGTACGTAATATGAAAGTCACAATCCTTCTCATTTAAAAGATATGACCGAGGTTTACGTTTTTATTTTTTTTTTGTTTTTGTGTTTTTTTTTTTTTTGTTTGAGACGGACGGTCAGACAAGTGAGATTAAATATCTACGCACTTTCACGAAAGCGATGAACAATAATAGAATCAAACTTGAGGGTAATTATCAAAGAAATCCGTGTTTTTTTTCTAGCAAGGAAAGTAAACACAGACGATAAAAATAAAGAATGTTCTGCAACAAATATAGACGATAAGACATTGACATTCTTTGACTTTGGAGGACAGTGTGCGTACTACGCATGTCACCAGATTTACCTAACCAGGAGAGCTTTCTATGTAGTGGTGGTAGACGCCTCTAAAATCCTTGACCAGAAAGTGGATAAGGCAGTTTGTGATCAAGATGGAAGCGTTTTCTGCGGATGGACATATGGAGGTACATGTGCCATATCATGTTATACTGTGACTCAAAAGAAATGCAAGAAGCAGTGATCTACAAATGTTTGAATTTCTATCTAATGATTTTCAAAAAAGAATATAGTAAGGCCTAACTCACTCTTAAGAAATTCAGAGATTTGATAAAAATTTTAAATGTATTTCTTTTAACTTTACTAAGTAACATATTGCTGCTAAAACACCCCTTTCAACCATTCAATAACAACGCGCAAGACTGCCATTGACAACAATTACAGCTTAATTTTTACGATACGATAGTTAATCAAAATCGATATTTGAGCGAAGGATATATTCTTTGCCATTTTTAAATGCCTGTCTTTCAGATGATTAGGTCGAATTTTCTCTAACTCAGCGCATTTAAGTAACCCTTGGACTTCCGGTCAAAGGACTATCATATATGCATATAATACGTAAGACCCCGTTGAGGTGTAATAACATGTAGTGTATTTTTGTATCACCAACTCTCCATCATCTTTACTTTGAGATTTTCCAGATAGCTGAAAGGAAATGCGTACTTTTGCCATTTTCAAGAAGCCTTAGCATCCTTACGGGAAATGAAAGGAAATTTTTAAACATCGCTTTATTACTTAAGATGGACCCCTTGAAACTAATATAACATTGCCAAATGCTTTGTTAAATATGCAATTTTTGATTTCTATTGAGCAGACTCAAACTTGACTTCCGGTTATGGCATAAGGATATGGAAATAACGAACAGTATTCAATCTCAACGTCCATTAAACAAATATACAAAACAAGAGCAGAGCAAACACGGGCATGAAAATCGTTCAACCGTTAAATTACCAATATTTATCAAATTGAAGATATCTATAATTTTAAGATACAAAATACTTTATTTTACATAAATATTTTCCCCTAAAACTGACGATGGGTTTCGTTTGCGTTTCAGTATATATTCTTGATGTCACTTTTGTTTTAGACCAAAATTTATTTTGATAATCATTTTATAAGACCTGTACCGGTAAAACCGGTGGAGGGATATAGGTTTCCTCTGAGTCTGTGAGTCAGTCTGTCTAGCTGTCCGTCCGTCTACTTGTCCTTCTGTTTCTCTGTTTGTCACTGTCCGTCCAGCTGTCCTTTCGTCTGTCTGTCAGTCTTTTCCACTTGGTTTTCCGCATTTTTTCTAAATGCTTGCAGATATTGAGCTGATTAGATATGTGTGAGTGTATCTTGATGATGTACAAATTAAGGTTGAAGTTCGGTCCACTTCACTAATTTTTGACGGAATTACGGCATTTTTAATTTTTCATTATTGGAATATGCACTAAATTAAAGTTTCAAACGAGCTTGTATCCTAAAGACTGATTGATTGATGGATTGTATATTATTCAACGTCCCTCTCGAGAATTTTTCACTCATATGAAGACGCCACCAGCTGCCGGTGGAGAGCTGCAAATTTTGTCCTATACTCGGCACTCAGGGTCATTGAGCAGGGAGGGATCTTTTTTTGTGCCAGCACATACTGCGACAAGGACCGGTCTCCACGTCCCACAGTGGGATTCGAACCCGCGACGTAAGGCTTGACTTCTTACTTCGCGACTCTAGAGCAGACGCTCTTACCACTGCGACACGCGGGCGACTTGTATCCTATAGAAAAAAAGGGGGAAGTCAGTAGCATATAAGCGGTACTCTCAGAATTCTTGTCAAAAAAAATTATTTTCAGAATGGAGCATATGAGAAGGCAAGAAGAAAACAAAAAAAGGCTTTCTCAGCAGAGCTAAAACATTAGTCACTCGTGTCTGATTTCAGGCTGTGAACGTTTTCACATTTTCAACTTCATTCTCTAAAGAACTCCTGGACCGATATTAACCTACTTTGTTACATTTATGAAGCATCTATGAGTGAAGGGGGTTATGTTTCATTAAAATGAAGATTACAGAGGCTACATGTGTGTGTGCGTGTTTTTTTTTTTTTTTTTTTTTTTTTTTTGCTTTTATTTCGACATTGACCAAAAAAAGAAAATATCAAATTATTTAGAACTCATGTCCCTCATTTGAATTTTAAATGTTATGATGCAAAAAAAAAAACTTTCTTTGATATACTAATATTCTTTTGCTAACATTCAAATCTTTATGTCTTCCATGACCTTCTGAATAGAAATCAAATGTAACTTTTTTATTTATTTATTTATTTTTTTTATTTTTTTTTTTTTTGGGGGGGGGGGTTACATTAACGCTACATTTAATAGAAAAATGTTTAAATTTTAAACATTCACATCGAATCATGTTTTAAACTTAAACGAGTATAAAAAAAAGTATTTTTTTTTAGGAATATTCATTATGACAATTACATCATGTAGATTTCTTAGAGTCTGAACTTGCAAAGAGAGTTTATTGTCCCAGTGCTTTTTCGCTATGTATAACGGAGGTCTGCGTTGGTTGTGATTGTGACTTAGACTGTGTCTATATTTATGTATTTAACCTTAAAGTATTTCAAACTATTTGTTAGATGATGATATGCCTATATTTTGAAAAAAAATACAATGTCTTCTTGTATCACCTCAATGTGTTCGGAACCTTTTGTTTTTCCATGTTCTACAGACTTTAAAGCCTGGGGAGGTCAACGTAGCTGTGGTAGTACAATGTATCTCTGTCATGTATTAAGATTTCCTTTGGACATACTTGTATGGAAACTTGAATTATTATTTTTTTTTCTTCTTTTTTTTTGGAGGGGGGGGGGAGCAGTTTAGCGAAAGAGGTACAAGAACTAAAGAATCAGATGAATGGAAATCGAAATTGCATTGTAGGTTACCACAGATATTACAAGAATTTGAAGTTAAGAAATAAATTTAATGGCGATCGAAAAGGCGGAAAGAACATTTTCCATGCATTTTGCTTATTAAAAGCATTTTCTATTTTTTTTTTATTCTGTTATTTCCATGCTCACCATTAAAAACAATTTATTTTTCAAAAAAATGTGGGATTGTTTGCAAGTGGGCTGAGGCTAAATACAGTCTTTTCTATGCAAATGAGCCAATTAAAATACTTACATTATAAGGCCTATACAAAAATGAATTCATACTTAAAACTTACAGCATACATGTATTAAAGTTGGTTCACATTATGACGTCATATCATGACTCCATTGGGCTTTTCCATTTTAGACAATAAACACAAAAGAACATCGATGGTCTCAAAGGCCTGTCAAAATTTATTTAAAATTAATAATGCATAATATTAACAAGAAAATTATTAAATTTGCTGCACAAATCCTATGCACTTTCTCAATCGATATAAAAAATAGGAAACTTACACTGTGAATTTTTCAACGTAAAACTGCATAAATAGTAACTGAAGAATATCAGTGTCGACATTTGTGCAACAATATAGTAAACCCTTGGAATACTCTGCGTCCACAAGTTAAACAAATATTTTTCAATGAAGGGTATATATAATATAAAACACTTTGTTCTTGCTGGGTTTCAGGCGATTTTGAAAAAAAAAATAATAAGGTAAGTACAGTGTATTCTAAAGTAGACTACGTTTATTATATTGTAGACTATTTTGTTTTCTGGATAAAGTCAATCCATACATATTGTGGTTCTGACAATGACAAAGTTCCTAAACCAACCGTCCTTATTGTGGCGACTCACTGGGAAGAAAAAAACAGACAGTATCAGGTAGGCCTAAAACAGCCAGAAGTTCTCTATAATCAGCTTACCTACATGTACCTATGATTAGTTAACCATATGTTTGTAAAACATTAAAACATCAAAATTATATACATGTACATGTATCTTAAAACTGATAATTGAAATTCATATGAATATCAAACAAGATCATTTACAAAATGTAGGAGTTGTTTACATTCACTAAAAGAAAATTTGGCGATGATGATATGAGAGACAATCTTTATTTAATTGTGTTATGTTTAGTGCAAATGATTTTTTGTCAAACTTCATAAAAAACGTTTATCTGCGAAATAAGGAAATCTACATAAAATGTTTTCATTACGATTAAATAATTTGTTACAACGCAAAATGTAATAACAACGCAAAATATAATAAACATGGATCATTACATTTTGCGTTATTATATTTTGCGTTGAGAGCAACGCAAAATGTAATATTGTGCTTTTTAGTTGATACATTTTGCCTTATTATGCCCCCACTTTCTAGAGAAACTTCTCGAAAATTGTTGTTACATGTACTCATGTACATCCGCCCTTCCGTCTGTCACACTTTTCTTCCCTGAACTCCTCCTACATTTTACTCAGTAGCCTAATTCATCTTTTACGAGATGGTTAGGGGTGTCATGTAGATGTGCAGTAAGATTTCGGAATTTTGATTTTGACCCGGGGGTTAACTGGGGTCGAAAAAGGACGTTTCTTATGCAAAACAGCCCCGTCTTTCCTGAACTCCTCCTACATCTTACTCAGTATCCTAATCATCTTTCAAGAGATGGTAGGTGGTTCATGCAGATGTGCAGTAAGGTTTCGGAATTTTCATTTTGACTCGGGGGTCAATTTGGGGGTCGAAAATTGGTGTTTTTAATGAAAAATCCCCATCTTTCCTGAAAACATGATACATTTTACTCAGTAGCCTAATCTCCTTTAAGGAGATGGTTGGTGGTGTCATGCAGATGAGCAGTAACCTTTCAGAATTTTCATTTCGGTTCTTTGGGTCAATTTGGAGGTACAAAATGGTGTTTTAATGCCAAAAGCCCCATCTTCCCTGAACTCATCCTACATTTTACTCAGTAGCCTAATCATCTTATAAGAGATGGTACATTTGTAGGTGGTGTCATGTTGATGTGCAGTAAGGTTGAGGAGCTTCCATTTAGGCTCAAGGGGTCAATTGGGGGTCGAAAAATGATGTTTTTAAAATGCAACAAGCCGCGTCTTCCCTCAATTTCCCCTGCATTTTACTCAGTAGCCTAATCATCTTTGAAGATATGATAGGTGGTGTCAAGTAGATGTGCAGTAAGGTTTTGGAACTTTTATTTTGGCCCAGGGGGTCTAACCTGTGCCGATATTTGTTTTTATTTTTTAAAAATATTTCATATGTTTAATCACCCTACTTCCAAAAAACTTCCCTAATATTTTATGCATTACTTGTGTATGTTTAAAATGGTTTCAGAATTTGCATTTTCATGTGGATGCCAAAAAGGGTCAGGAAAAAATGGCCCCTCCCTAACCCAGGGGCTCATGATTTGTACAAATTTGAATCTACATCTCTTGAAAATGTTTCTATATTAATCATGCTCTTGTTGTTTTTGAACAGAAGAAATTTGAAGATTTGTTTCCTTTTTTTCTATATAAAACTTTGATCCCTAATTGTGGCCTGACTCTAGCCTCTGGGGTCATGATTTGAAAAACTAGAGTATGTCTATATGACATGAACGTCCCGCCGAATTTATATTACTAATGCTACAGGAAAATTTATATAAGTGTATAAAGTTTGATGAACATATCTTGAACATTTTCTTTATAAGCCTTAAAAGATATAAATATATTTTTGGCAAAGAGACAAGAAATCCATCAATTAATAAAATCAATGAAACATTTAACATACCATTCTGATTTTTATTTAGATACCGTCTGCAACTATACTGCATCTTTTACAATGAAAAATCCATACGATGACTTTGATGTAGACCTAGTAAGTGAAAAAATAGACGCAGTGTTTTATTTACCTTAGGATGCAGATATTTTGGATTTTTTGGATCCATCGTCTTTGGCTCCTGCAAGTGAACAAGACACTAAAATGATACAAAGGCTACAATCAACTGATATGGATTGCCAACCTCCACCTGAGACCACTGCCTGTACCTCTGCGTCCAAACCAGAACCAAAGAGATTCAGATGTATGTCATCTGATATTGCGTTAAAGCAGTTTCAGGAAGCCAGACATTCTAAATCTACTAAAAGAAACACAAGATTTTGAATTCAACAGTTTCAAGGTAAAAAAGATGAAGAAGAAAACAAACCCCAGAAAATTAAACTATACATTCAGTAAGCTAGAATTATAAACATGATAATAAAAATGCTAATTTTCAACTGCATTGTATCATACCTTACAAAATTAAAATAAATTTTTAAAAATTCTAAAATCAGAACATAGTAAATTACAACTATAAACATGATCATAAAAATGCGTATTTACATCTTTCATTACCTAAAAAAAATGAAATTAATTTAAAAAAAAAAATTCTAAAATTAATAAATTGAAAAAATACCAGGTGGCAAAAAAGCTCAAAAATTGCTAAATAAAAAAGAAATTAAAAGGAAAAATGAAAAAAATAACATGCGTAAGGAAAAAAAATTAACATTTAAAGTTGTAAAAAGTTTCAATCAAAACACAAAAATAAAACAAATAAAAGAGAAAGTCAAAAAGACAGAATTGAAGAATTTTTCCCCAAAAGATTTTAGATGGTATGATGAGGTTTTTTTGGTACCCCAATGGATATTAAAGAAATAGAAACTGATGAACTCGCCCACAAACTAATAAAATTCTGTGAGGCATAACGGAAAGAATCAAATAAATCAAAATATTTATGATGGAAGCTCACAGTTGTTACATATGTATAACCAACAATCTCACAAAAATATCAAATTACCATAAACCACCATCTACAAGACATAGGTCGTTCCATAAATGTAATGCAAGATAAGAATGAAAATCCACCAATCACACACTATACGGAATGTTGAAAACTATTACTAAAATTTGCGCTTCGCTGCTCAGTAAACACAAAGACATTATAAATTTTTAAGATCTTCAGAAGATATCCCTAATCTCCATTTTCTCCTCTTGTCCTTCAATAGTGATATAAAAAGGGGGAAAGGGTTAAAAATATGTTTTTTTCTTGGGGTGGGGGGCTACATATACCCCTCTCCCACCTCCCACTTGTAAAACTGTAACAGTTGCTTTATGCCGAAACAATGAATAAAAGTTTTAAAAGAAATACTTAAATCAAAAATGGACCTCTCTGTTTCAAAATATGAGTCTTCTTGTGATAGATTTAAAATCTAAATAAAAATGTCATGGTTCTCCTGTGAATATCGACTTCGTATGTGGTCACCGGAATGTCGATTTATTTAATGAAAATGGAACCCTTCGATAAATTGCCACAGGAAAAAAAATAACTAAAATAGTTTGTGACTTCCTGTCAGTGTAAATTTCGAATTTTCAAATGCTTCCTGGATTTGAGTTTATATTACAATATCAAAATGTGTTTATTTCATAATGTATTACAATTTTTTGGAATACTTTTAATATCTTTTTGTTCCTGTATCATAGGTAAAACAATCTGTATCTTAAACAGGTAAGAATACATTTACACTTTTAACTTTTAAAAGAATAAACATAGCCACAAACACAAGAAAGATAGAGAAAAGTTGAATGACATTCATATGCATAACATCATGTGTCAGTTTCTTCATTTAAATAAAAAAATGCTTTTTACATGAAAATGTTTAATAATACATATCTTTATATATGGTGTCTTTGATAAATTCAGATGAACTTAAATTAAAAAAATCTTTCTATTTGTTTTGTTACTCCATATAACTACGAGGACTTCCTGTAAATTACACAATTCAGATTAATCGTGTATCATAGATATCAGAGATTTAAAACAATAATTTCCGAGTAGGATTGAAATATCAAACACAGTTTAAGACACAGTTGAAAGTCAATTTAGCCATAGTAGGGTGGGCATATTAAAGGTCAAAATTAGTGAAAGTCTCAATTTGAACATTAATAATATACATTGGAAACCTACACCTAATCTTATATTTTTTTATTGTTTAGCTCAGATATGCCATATATAGCTTTAGCAGAGTAACCAAGGGGAAATAAATCACAGTGCCCTTCTAGGATCTAATAATGGTCCCATCTCAAAGATTCTAAGAGGATTATTATTTTAAATTTTAAATATTCTTCTTTTCAGAAATGTGACAGGATCTTTCTGTTGTACTAATTATGACAGAGACAAGAATGGGGATTGTAACGGTAAGAATTTGTTATGTACATGTGCTGTAAAGCAGAAAGTTCCATTGGGTATTAAAAAGTCCAATCCACACTTTTCAAAAGTTATGTCCCTTGGCCGCCATCTTAGGGGATAAGCCCATACAATCCACACGGTAGCCTTTGTAGTTTTTTCACTTCGTCATGTGACTTTAAAAAGCCCTGCCTTTTGTGTATCAATTGCCCAAAGATGGGGCTACCCACACATTGAAAGAAAAAAAAATTAAACACAATGGATTTTTCACAGCACGCCCAAATATTTGGTAGCATAGAGAGGAGAAATGACGTTTCTTTTTGACCTTTTGGTTGACCCCGCAAAGGGAAACAACTTTTGCAAAGTGTGGATTTGACTATTTCGTTGATTTAGTTGTTTTAAATTATCAGGGAAATTTAATCCAACAGGATATTTTGATGTGTCTATAAATTGAATAGCGATACTTTCGAAACGAAAATAAAAAAAAACAATGCCAACGAAATCGTTTAAGATACCAACTCAACGAAATCTGATTTGGTTGAACGATTTTGTTTTTATCTGTATATGCAAACATTTTATTCAGTTTGTTTCATTTTATGATGTTTCTTTTTTTATTATTTTATACACAGAAAGTTACCAAGTAAATGTGATTTCGTAAACTGATTTTGTGAATTTAGATTACAAATCAGTTTTTTAAACATGTTTTATTACTAAATTCATTGTTATAGATATTGTTGGACTATTATCAATTATCAAATAATTGTTACGTAAGACACAATGGTATTCTTTACACTCTTTGCATTTATGTTTTAACCATAACCTCTATCGTTAATTTTACAAAGTGTCCTGCATTTACAACGCTTTGAATGCTTGTTCTAGAGTCGAAGAATAATCGGAGAGTTCAGCCAATTCCACAGGTTTAGATACACTGTGTAACGATATGTATTATTCTTGGATGATATTGTAGAAACCAATGTCTCCTATCGTAGATGGGGCTTAAAAAAGATTTCCGTTACTTCTCAAAAGCCATAATTGCCAAGTACAGGTCTAATTCCGCCGACAAGTGGTTGTTTCATTTTCCCAGAAACTTTTAATAAACAACGCATTTTCTATATCAAGGATTTCCAAGTTGTTAAAAAGAATGAAAGAACTACGTACGCTATAACTCTCGATTCCCGCCTACATTTTACGCTTATTTAATTCAATATTTATGACAATTTGGCCATAAAATCTTTATTGAATGAAAAGATAAATTCAACTATAATTTATAAATAATTTTAATACCAGTGTAAAATAGTTAATTATCTCTTATTTTGCTCCTTAAAATGGGGGGATAGACGATATTTATTTTTCGTTGAAATGAGCTTTACACCATCATCGTATTTTAAAATATCTCTGAATGTGTATAAGTGTTCCTTACCTCTTTTCTTATGTTTTAAGCATACGAAATTAAACATATATCATTAATAAAATACTATGTTTTAGTTTTAAACCCCTTTGAAATTGTTGAAAAATTATAACTTTTGTCACTTTTTGGTCATTAAACGTATGTTCCCCTGTCCTTGTAACAAAATAAGCTCTGGTATGAATTTGTGAAATGACAGTCTATATTACCTGTGTAAAGGAGTTTTTCTTTCACGGGGGGATGTATTAAAAAATATTTTCTGTTGATTACTATATAGAAAAACGCGAGTTTTACCAAAATTATAGGGTTATTTCTCTTTGTTTTCCCAAAAAAGTAATGTGATAAAGGAAATTCATATCAATATGTGATTAAATATAAATATGGAAAACTATTTAAATATATTAACTTTTGAAAATTGACTTTGAGGTAAGGGGAAGAACAATGCTTTCGTTGTAGTTCTTTCAAAAAAGCAATATCTCTATTAAAGCAATATGAGCTGCAAGTTTGACATCAGAAAAAATGTTGTAAATTTGTAATTGTAACTTTGTAACTATTTCAATGACAGAAAAAATAGAACATTTTTAAACTTCTGTTGTTCATATTTTCCATGAAAGAACTTTTTATACGCTTTGATTGAAGCAAAATTGAATTATTGTCGTCCTGTACAATTATGATTTCTTATATAATACTGTATATTCAGTTGTACAGAAGTATTTCTGATGAAACATTTTTAAACTTTATTTTGGTTTTATTGATTATAAGGGTTAAGATTACATACATATTAATCACAATAACACATTTTACCTGCAAATTAAAATTCTCAAAAATGCAGCTCATATTGCTTTAAATATTATTTTAGTATGTGCCCCTGGATACTTTGGGAAACTTTGTGATACAGTTTGTCCACGTGGAAAATTTGGTGAAGGCTGTGCTGGGGAGTGCACGTGCTCTCCAAAGGATTGTGACCACGTGACTGGATGTCCTCTTATAAACCAGCTTACAACCACACAGGCAGTTACATGTAAAAACTAAATGCATTTGTTAATTTAATTAAGCTAGAAAGACGCTTTTAAATGCAAAATGTTATAAATTTTAAACTTGTTCCATTTTATCTATTTCCCCTTCACATAAAGGGCTTCATCTGACAAAAATACATACTTCTACACCATCAGTATCATCAGGAATAATAAAAACTGAGCTCCCAATCCCTACCACAGAGAGTTACAAAATATCAACATCACCAACGCTAAAGCCGTATATATCAATACAAAACAGAACGATTTTGTACTCATCAGAGATACAAACAACAGAAATACCTACTGATAGAACTACCACGGGACAGTTTAACAGTAATTATACAATCCTGGGTGTAGGATTGATATTAGCGATTCTTCTGATAGTCATCATTGTTCAGCTCCGATTGAGATCAAAATCTTCACACAAAACAATTTCAAAGGAAGAAGGGGGAGAAAACAATGAAATAAATGTATTGAGTGACTCCTCAAGAAAGCCATTGGACATCGATATAAAACATTATAGCAGGTTAGAAGAGGATAAGGTTAAAGGTCACGTGTATCAGCGTGTTGAGTCTGAGTATCAGGAAATTGAGGAATGTTTAGAAATGGTGGACAATCCATCTGTGCTCAAAAGTGGTTCTCGGTCAAAAATGGAGACGACAAGTGAAAGCAGTTGTTTGGAAAATTATATAGAACCTGTTATTTCAACAGAAACTATCAGAAGACAACGGCATTCGTACATAGAAATATTGGATACGGAAGTGTATACCAGAGATGACAACTTAATTGATGGATCTAATGAAAACTCAAGTAAATCATCGTCTTTATATAATGATGTGATAATCGAAGGTTCCGCAGTTTCACCGGAAATAGCTCACAGAAATGATAATACTTATCTTGGTGTTCTCTTTGAATGATAAGTATCCAGCCATCAAAGCCTGATGTAAACCATAACAGCCAATTCGCCAAAAGACACACGGTCTCACTTTAAAATTTGAAACTCGTCACAGTAATCTCAATGATTCACCTCGCTGTTATAAAAGTCAATTGTCCATTCCGTTTGTGTTTAAAAAAGTTGTAATTATTAACGTAATTTTTCAAAACTTTCCGTATTTTTGAAACTGTACTGTTGTTTATTTTCTAACGTCCCTCTCGAGAATTTTTCACCCATATGGAAAAGAAACTGTAATGATTCCTTAGAATTATATGGATTTGTACACTACAAGTCCATGTAAGACTTTTTTATTTCAAATAATAAGATGAAAAGAATATTTTCAATCAAATAATGTTGTCAAAAACTCATAATTTTTTGAAAATTTTAAATTGTAAGATCAATGTTAATTTTAACGTTTTTTTGTTGTAAATCAAGATTTTGATGATACACTATATGTAAACGCAACATCAAATTAAATATTCATGTTTATTAATGTTTTCTATTATTGGAGTTTTCTGTTCTCTTTTATTTCTTTTTAAATTATATCCTTTTAACAATATCCATTTAAATATTTGTTTATGTAACATTAGATAAAATATATTTTGTCCTTGTGACATTTTTTTTACATGCATGCATGTTTATTGTTTCACGTCACTGAGAGAAAAAAAATCATAATTCATGTCTGGTAGATATTTTCTTATGGAAAAACTTTAAACTGCTTCTTCACACAAAGATGACCTATGGCATGAGGGTGTGTTATGCCCTTGAGCCGAGGTCATTTGAGTTTAACGTCAGAGAAAATTTCATGAATCAATTCTGCTCCATATGTTTCTTGTAGATAAACTTCGAGGGATCATGTTTAACACAAAGATTGCTTATGACCTGATGTGTGACATGACTTTAGCACAAGGTCATTCGTGCCTGTTTAAGGACACTGGCAGAAATGAATCATAATTCATGCCTAGTCAATATCTTTTAAATAGATAAACATTGTGATTTCCCGTTTTACACCAAGATTGCTTATTACTGAGGGTGTGTCGTGAGTTATAACATAGGTCATTAATGCAAGTTCATCGTCACTGATAGAAAAAAAATATAATTTGTGTCTTGTCTTTATCTTTATTGTTTATTTATTTTTTTAAGCTGCAAATTTATTTCATTCATGAAAAAATCTGATGAGCTATTGTATTTGCACTTAAACGTTTAAATATTTCTCTCTTCTCCTAGAGCCATTAAATAGTCATACTTTACCACCTTCGCTGAAAAACTGGGGGAAGGGTTCTTCGTCCCTTTTGGACAGTTATAGTTGATTCAGGCAACGCTTGGTGTGTGTGCGAGCGGTAAACCGGGCTTTTGTTGCAGTGTTCCCAAACGGCTTTTCAGGAGTTTCGCATGATATTGGTGACGTTTAACATACTATTACTCAGTCGTCCTTAGAACTACCTGAACGTTATTTGAGCGATTTTTTTTTTATATTAGACATTCATTTTGATCATTAAAAAAACAATACACAAATATTTAGTTTTGAAATTAACGGGAAAAAATCTTATTTTTGAACGTCAATTAAGTCTCTGGACTTTTTAGTTGAACTTGCAATCTATGTATTTGCCACATAGCATGCATTTTGATAAAATTCTTAATGAAATATTTTAAATCTATCAGAGGAGCACATTTTTTTAATATATAATTTGTTTCTCTGTAATCCTTTTTTAATTGATTAAAAATGCTAACACTCATATAAACATTTTAAATAATAGCGTTACAGACTCTCCCTCTGTAAAACGATCAATTTCTCTTCAGTGCCACAAATGAATGCAAAAAAAAAAAAAATAAAAGTAAAGTTACTAACGAAATGGATTGCCCATGTTTTGTTATACAACTTAAACACTAGATTAACTTATGAACATTCTGCACAAGAAATACATTTTTTTCTGATTCGAATTGGGTTGTTATTTTTCGAACTTATTCAATCATACCGACTTTTTGAACCATACGGCGATCATATTTTAAAAATCACCCATAAGATTACCAGTATTAGGTCAGATACTCAAAAAAAAAGTCTTTCGATTGAGACCGTATAAAATAAGGTCCCATGTACCAGTAGAATATGACAAGAAACAGATGCATCGATGCTTAAAGATGAATACGATTTGTAAAAGAAATGTGTCCGCCATTTTGGTTCCCGATTCTCGCTACTCTGCATGACCCTATATAAAGGCAAGAACTTAGTCACTGTTCAGCATGATCAGTTGACACCAGTACAGACGGATGTATGCTATTCCATGGCACCTGATCCCACCTCTGATGTTTTGGAGGTCCGTGTTTGCTCTGCTCTTATTTTGTATATTTGTTTAATGGACGTTGAGATTGAATACTGTTCGTTATTTCCATATCCTTCCTCATTAAGGACTCGGTAGCAAGAATAATAACGTAATACATCGTCCAACGCGGGAAAGTAAGATACAAAATAAATTTACAATTATAGTTATAATAGGTGTACAGGTCAGTGCAGTATACAAACAACACAGATAAAAGTAACTGCAAATAAAATGTAAAAAGAGGTAATACAAGATAACCAGCACGACCTCGGGTTGCCATTCCAAGCCGATACTCGTGACAATAAAGCAGTCAGGTGTAACTCATGCGACGAGTATACCCTGGTGTTGATGCATCGTAGATAATAATGTCGAAAATGATGTATACCTATTTACGAGTCGTGTTCAGCTTCAACGAGGCGCATGACCTTGCGAAGACCTATAAGTCCATGCAGTCATTTTTGCAACGATACACCTTTGCCTAATATTTTGATTTTAATACAAAATTAATATTATCTGTTACCCTAGTGGACTGGAAATGTGATTTTACGACAATAATTAGAAGAAAAAAACAATCTCTCTAACAAAATCACCATTTTAAGACTGATGAAATATCATATATGTATTCAGTGAGTTCAAATCTACATTGATAAAAATGAACAGAATGTATTCGAACAGTATTTAAATCGCCCCAAAAATATCTTTGGGGCACTGGTAAAAAAAAGGATGGGGTGACTTACGTCTCCTCCCCCTCCCCGTAAATTGACAAAAAAAATGAAGTTTTACTCAATTTTTTTTATGTACCTGATCTTTGATATGTGTACATTTATGGAATAATATTTTAAACAAAAATAGAAACCTGATTTTAAAGATATGTATCTTTTATTTGGGTAGGGGTATCATGTTTACATCCAATTCCATTTTGAATTTGATCCCGTTCCACTTTTTGAAGCCCTTAAAATTTACGAGGGCAACTATGTACAATTTTATCTTTTGGTTTGTCACTGTATTTTATTGAAATATAGTAAGGGAGAGTGGTGTTTTCTTCCTTTGTATTAATTTTATTTCTTTATCAAAAACCGTTAAATTACCGTCCGGAACATGCGCAAAGGTTACTTGTATTTTTTATAATCATTACAAATAATATATTCTCAACAAATACTACTAAACAATCCTAGAATTTAATCGGAAATTCACTGAAACTGGAACTAGAAGTGTCCATGGTCAAAGTCTTCTTAACTATCCAAATTATAACAAACAAACTGGAAGTGATGGGAATGCGTGGAAGGAGACCTTATGTGTTGTGAGCTTAATATTGTCGGGTACAAACAATTTCGTTCGGCTTCAGTGTCATCCACATCTCAACCCTATAGAACATAAATGGGACAAGATCGACAAGAGAGTGAAAACTATTTTCAGCAGCAACATTTAGCAGAACTACAGATGAAAACCTCGTCAAATCATGGAATAGTCTTCAATAAAGATTGTCCTTTAATTGTATGAATTCTTTGAGAAGCAGTTGTCTTGATCTAAATTCGTTTGAATGGAGGATAAAAACAGTATCGCATGTTGCGAATTGTTAATTCTATAGTGTCTTTACTTTTCAGCATTTTGTGTAAAAGACCTTCAATAAAGAAAGACTAATTGAAAAAAATCTTTTGCTTCTTTTTATCCTGTATAGTTATCAATTTATCTTGTTCTTATTATTTACAAATGTAAATGCAGTGTAAAGCAAAAACTTACTTGGAA